AGCCAGTGTGTGTGTGTGTGTGTGTGTGTGTGTGTGTGTGTGTGTGTGTGTGTTGTATACCTGAACATGTGCATGCTAGGGGACCAGTACACCTTGGTCTTTTGGGGTCAGGACAAGAACAGGACCCTTTTCTAATACAGGAGTCTTTTCTGGAGCCTCTTTAGTGGCCCGAAATGCTTGTGAATGGGGAGAATCAGCCATCGTCTAAGGAAGCCCTGGTGATGCCCAGGAAAGAGCATCCCGGCTAACCCCGGAGGTCCAGAGTGAAAAGCCTCTGGATTGGACTCTTCAGGGCAGCGAGTGAGTGACTCTTCTCTAGTTTCCTGCTTCCCGAACCTCTCCGTCCTTCCACTCAGAACTGGAGGTTTGGAAAACAGCCCAGTTTTCCGGCTACCCCTCCCGCCCCCACAGATTGGTGGGAGCGGAGACAACCTTGTCGCGGGAAGGCATCCTCCAGGCCCAGACATTCATTTCTGTCCATTTCAAGGCGTCCGAGCCTGCGCCGTATATAACGAAGTACTGCGTCGAAAATGGATGGCAAGGTGGTCTCTCGGAGCCTGTTTTATTCACAGGTCTTAGGCAAATCTGGATTTTAGGGTTGCGAGCCAGAGCCTACTTTGAGACTGGCTTAGTAACCGGAGCTGAGGCTTCGTTTGGGTAGGGAAGAGAAGTGGGGAACGGGGTGGAGCGAGGAGGGTGCGGCTCTTGCGAGCATTACGGCAGAGGCTGGGGACCGCGGCGGCGCTCGCAGAGGCTGCAGCCATTGCACTGCCGAGCATCCCACATTCAACAGGAGGAACCCGCGGGAGAAGATCCCCGAGCCCCCAGCGCCGCAGTCGCCGCAGCCCGTGCGCCCCGCGCCCCCTCGCGCCATGGCCAAGGAAGGCGTAGAGAAGGCGGAGGAGACGGAGCAAATGATCGAGAAGGAGGCCGGCAAGGAGCCGGCGGAGGGCGGCGGCGGCGACGGCTCGCACCGCCTCGGGGACGCCCAGGAGATGCGCGCCGTGGTGCTGGCCGGCTTCGGGGGGCTCAACAAGCTGCGACTCAGCAGGAAGGCCATGCCGGAGCCGCAGGACGGCGAGCTCAAGATCCGCGTCAAAGCCTGGTCCAGTATCCGCGCCCTTCTCGCTTTCTCTCTCTTTGCGCGCTCGGCGCTCCGGGAGGGGGCGGGAAAGCCGCGGCGGGAACGCTGCCCCCGGGGAGAGCCTAGGGCGCCCCCCGTGTGCCCCCACCCGGACTCAGAGCCTCCCCTGGCTCGCGACAGACTAAAGCTGGGGAGGATGCTGAGAGTTACCGCCCCCCCCACAACCAGACCTAGGGGGTACCGGAGGAGGATGTGAGCTCTTGGGGGCAGGGAGAATGGGGGCGCCCAGCACTCTGGGTCTGGAACATTGCGCTGCGGGAGTTCTCAGTCCGGCCGGACAGCTCAGCTGCCAGCGCAGGGAGGTTGAGGGTTAATACGGTTTTTAAAAATCGTAATAACCCTAGGCTTACCGTGTGTCAGCCAACGTTTTTAGAGTTTTACATGTGCGATTTTATTTAATACTTCCTGGGTCCTAATGAGTGAGATGCCGTCCTTATCTCCCGTTATAAGTGAGGAAATGCCGCTCAGAGAGGATGAGTGATTTGCCCAAGATCATCAGCTGCCCCTAAATGGCTTGGCCGAGGATTTGATACTTGATCCTTTTCACCTCTATGCTGTTGTCCTGATAGGGCTGGGACAGTTGCAGCGTTGAGTCCCGCCTCCCTGTGGCCCGGTATGGAGAAGAGAACTGGGAAACAAGAGAGTCAGGTCCCGAGCATCCAACCCTGGAGGGGGCTGAGGCCAGGGCTGCTGCACAGCCCTCTTTCTCCCCCACGGCATCCTCTGTGCTTCTCCGAGAGAAAGAGGAGAAAAGCCCTAATCAGTTTCCTTTGAACTCCTGTTCCTATCAGATGGAGCTCAGCTCTCTGAGATGGCTATTTACATACTCCCAGGAAACTTCTCCAGACCCACCCCAGCTGAGATTCCCCCGGAGGGTTTAAGCCTCTCAACATGCAGGCACTATATGATTGTTTTCCTGAAGTTCCAGGGAGAGCTTCCCCGGGAGAGGGTCCCTGGACCCAACACTAGGCTTGCCTGTGAAATTTTTAAGAGGAACTTACTCACCTCACCACGGTGAGGTGAATCCATCCCTTCCCATCTCTGTTTTTTAAAGCCCCGACCACACACTGCTTCAAAAAGCAGCAGCCAGCTCTCCTGTTCCCAGGGTTAAATCAGAAACCCAGAATCTGGACCTGATCTGGGGACATAAATGCAAAGGAGGTCCCCTTCCCTTCACCACCTTGAGAGCAGAGCCAGGGTTCATCTGCCAGATGAGAAGGCAGCTGGTGGGGGAAGTGCGTGCTGATCTCTGACTCACTCCTCATATGTGCTGTTGGTCATGTTTGACTCTAAACACTCTTAGACCCCTATGGGGAATTCAGGGTAAAGGGAGAAGCTTTTGCAAAGGCGGGATCCTACACAATTATTTTTGTTAACTCTTATTGAACCAAGCTGATTGACCCCAGAAGGCAGAGCTTATATCTGCCTTTTCACTTATAAATTCCCACTTGGCACATTGTGCATCCCAAATAAGTTATTGCTGAATAGTTATTTATTATGGATTGAGGAAGGTGCTTGGAGGGAGATGGTTGAGTCATTATTTTTCTTCACTTGCTGGTGGAAGAACTTCTGGTTAGTACAATTAAAACGAGGTATTTATAACTCCCCTTCATTGTTTACCTCATCAGATATATACGTACAATTATATACAATAATGTATATATACACACAAATATATATATACACACATATATATACATATATATATATATTTACAAAATTTATGACCGCCCAAATTGAGGATTGGATTCTAGGATTTTATGTCAGAGTATATATTCAGAGAGTGAAATGATGAGGCTACTTTTTGAAGGAAAGAGTATCATTATTTTCAGTGCCAGTAGGTCTGTGTTCTCAAGCCTTAAGCTAATTGCATACTTGCTGATAGGAACTGAAACATTTTGAAATAATAAATGTCAAGATGAAGGCCAGGAAATTGATTTTCAAAACCATACACACAAGCCTGTTCTTTAGTGGAGCTGAAAACACACACACACACACACACACACACACACACACACACACAAACACACACACACAATGGAGTCACTGTATACCCCCCACCCCAGTTGTTCAGAAAGCAGGCAGCATGAGGGTATATTTGGAGTACAGCGTTGCAAAGGGCCGGGATTGGTTTTCCTTTTTTTCTTTCACCAAGTTGAGAGCAGAATTAATTGGTTTTGCAAGGGAGGGTTGGCCTAGGCTTGTGAAGACGGCCCACTGGGTGCTTCCTTCTCCACCGGACTGGGATTGGTTGGCCAAAGATGCCCATTGATTGTAAGTTTCAGCCTTGGGATCCAGGATGACTCATTCTGTATTTTTATGAATCAGCTGATGGCTTCCTGGATGAAGGCCCCCCTTTTATCTGTTCTTTTTTTTATTAGAAACCTTTTATCATTAAATAGAATTGCTTTTTTGCTTGGGAATAAAGCGTAGTACATCTGAACTGGTATTAGTCAGGCTTAGAGTGAGAGTCAAAGTTTGTTACTCTATAAATTTTATGGAAATGGAAGAGAAGATGCAGAAAGAAATGTATATTTTTATCTCATCCTCTTTCATTCATGGGCCAATATGATAGGTATTTTTCCCATACCACAGAAGAGCAAACTGGGGCTTGGAGACATTGAGTAATTTGCCCAAAACATCTCATAGTAGTAGCATTAGGATTTAAATCTGCCTCTCCCTAAAGCATTGCTGTTTTCCTTTTATTCCATTTTGTCTTGCTTGGTGGAAAAACCGTAAGAAATGTGATTTGCTTCTCTGGATCTTTGGCATATACTCTTGCTTTCTTTCCTTTCTTCAGTGAATATGGTTCTTTTGCTCTTTTTATGTCTAGTTCAAGAGAAGATTCTGACTATTTTCAAAGAAATAAGACTTTTCCCAGAAAGTAGAGGCATTTTGTCCAAATGTAGCTTGAAAAAAAATCTGTTGCAGGGGTTGAGTGTTGGCAAGATAACAGACACTTCTGTCTACATTGTTTTAAAACATCAATTTTGGCCAGGTGTAGTGGCTCTTGCCTGTAATCCCAGCTATGGGAGGCTGAGGCAGGAGGATTGCTTGAGGCCAGGAGTTCAAGACCAGCCTGGGCAACATAACAAGACCCCATCTTTTTAAAAAATAAAACAAACAAACAAAAAAGACCCATCAGTCTTAATGGTGGACCTATTTCACCAGTTATTCATGAAACAATTTACACAGCAAGATGTTTAGCCAAATGGAAAAAACATGTGACCTTTGAAGAAAGATGGACCTGAATGTAAGCTTAAGCCTCACCTCTTCCTATCCATGTGACTTGGGAGGATATGTCTCAACTTCTTCAAGCCTCTCATGCTTCATCTGCAAAATGGAAATAATAAGATAAATCTCATGGTATTGTTGAGAGGATCAGATGCATTAGACTGGCCTATTGTCAGAATTCAATAAGTAGTAGTTGTGACTGCTACCATTATTCTTGCCATATCTAGACCTATGTGACATGTGATGTTTTGCGACCTGACAACCTGGAGACCATCACTTTAATCATGTATGTAATATAAGCAATGACATGTCACGTCTGCCTAATTGTTAAGTCAGACCTTCCAAGACTTTAGTCCCAGCTGTGCTACTTGCTAACTGAACATCTTAGGTCTGGCTCATTGAAGGCAGAGCCTGACACAAGAGTTCCTTTTTCAAGTGGTTTATTGAAATGGTGCTTTCAGAACAGTGGGGGCGAGGGAAACGTTATGGCAAAGGAAGGAGCTAAGCAAGGATGTGGTCTCAGCCGGATCCCACCACAGAGTCAGCCCCTGAAGCCAGGAGCAGAGGGAACCTTTTGTGTCTTTGGCGGTGGGTGGCTTTCTAGGTGAGGGCATAGGACCAGCTCTGAGTCTTGAGCAGCCAACACTCTCATCAGCAGGGGAATGGGTGCACTGACCATAGACGGCATCTGGTTGAGGCACAGACAGTGTCTTCTCATTGACCTTGGCCATGTTGTTGTTAAGGACATGTGTGTCCCAAAGCTCTATGAAGATACAGAATATTGGCATCCTCACAGTAAGTTTCTACATGTTCCTTTCTAGTGTGTTCCAGCCTTTACTACCCACTCCCTCAAAGGCAATCACTGTTTTGATCTTCCAACATAGATTTGTATAACGTTTTCAAATTTTTTATGAATGAAGTTAGTACAGTATGTCCTTCTTTGAAATACTTTTTTTTCCACACAGCATAATGTTTTTAAGATTCATGTATATTGGTAGCTTATTTCTTTTTATGACTGAGTAATATTTCATTGCATGAGTATAACATTGTTTATCCATTCTGTTGAAAGCTTTGATTATTATGAATAAAGCTGCTACTGACATTCTTGTACAAAAATAAATGTGAACAAACTTCAATTTCCTGGTTTATAAAATGGAGATAGTAATGTTTCCCTTCATAGTGTTGTAATGAAGTTCAAATGAGATACAGTGTACAGAGACCATTATAATGACGTCTGTCACATAGCAAGTGATCAATACATGATAACAATTATTATCTAAACTATTATTCTTGGTTGCCATAAATACCTCACATAGTTTATCTTTCAAACTGAAATGCTCTTGAAAGTGAAAAGGACACTATTCATAATTCTCTTGGATAGTAGGAGCGAACTGGAACTGTCTTAGGCAAACCAGGCTAAGTGGTTCCCCCACCCCCGCAATTGATAGGGGTCAGATCTGTGCCTTTGCTGCCATCAGTCTTGTCACAGTGTGTCTCTTGGACAGGGACTGCTAGGATTTGAGGCTGGCAGAGGGTCTCTAGGTTGGGTGGCAGGAATGTATTTAAGTGGCCATTAACAAGCCTTACCCGGTTTGTTACTCAAATTGGTTTGTGGTAGAAAGGCACTAATGGATTGAGGACATTTATTTTCCCAGAGTGATTTACAGTGAGAGGCTACATGAAACTGCTGGAAAGAGACCAATTGGATGAAAAATGGATCCAGCCAG